CCACTTCTCTCCTGCTTCATCTGGGACTCTCTGTTGTGTTCCCTGTCAGGGTGGTCATTGGTGGTAGCCAGGAACCATCTAGTTCTCCTGGTCTCAGACTGATGGAGAGTCTGGTTTATGTGGCCCTTTCTGTCTCTTGGGCTAATATTTTCCTTGTGTCTTTGGTGTTCTTCATTCTCCTTTCCTCCAGGTGGGTTGGGACCAATTGGTGCATCTTAGAGGGCCGCTTGCTAGCTTTTAAGACCCCAGGTGCCTCTCACCAAAGTGGGATGCAGAACATCTTCTTAATAGACTTTGTTATGCCAATTGACCTAGATGCCCCCTGAAACCATGGTCCCCAGGCCCCTCCCCCTGCTACTCTGTCCCTCGAAGTGTTTGGTTGTATCCAGGAAACTTCTCAGCTTTTGGTTTAGTCCAGTTGTGCTGACTTCCCCTGTAGTGTGTGTTGTCCTTCCAAAGGAAAATTTCTTGAGGGCAATTAAAAGTGCTACTCCAGTGAACACACAAATGATAAGAAAGCAAAACAGCTTTATTGCTGATATGGAGAAAGTTTTAGTGGTTTGAATAGAAGATCCAACCAGCCACAATTCTCTTAAACCAAAGCCTAATCCAGAGCAAGGCCCTAACTCTCTTCAGTTCTGTGAAGGCTCAGAGATGTGAGGAAGCTGCAGAAGAAAAGTTTGAAGCTAGCAGAGGTTGGTTCATGAGGTTTAAGGAGAAAAGCCATCTCCATATCATAAAAGTGCAAGGTCAAACAGCAAGTGCTGATGTAGAAGCTGCAGCAAGTTATCCAGGAGATCTAGCTAAGATAATTGATGAAGATGGCTACATTAAACAAGAGATTTTCAATGTTGATGAAACAGTCTTATATTGGAAGATGCCATCCAGGACTTTCATAGCTAGCGAGAAGTCAATGCCTGGCTTCAAAGCTTCAAGACAGGCTGACTCTTATTAGGGGGTAATGCAGTTGGTGACTTTAAGTTGGAGCCAATGCACATTTACCATTCCAAAAATCCCACGGCCCGTAGGAATTATGCTAAATTACTCTGCCTGTGCTGTATAAATGGAACAAAGCCTGGATGACAGCACATCTGTTTACAACATGGTTTACTGGATATTTTTAAGTCTACTGTTGAAACCAACTGCTCAGAAAAAAAGGATTCCTTTCAAAATATTACTGCTCATTGACAAACTGCACCTGGTCACCCAAGACCTCTGATGGAAATGTACAAGGAGACTAATGTTGTTTTCATGCCTGCTAACACAACATCCATTCTGGAGCCCATGGATCAGTGAATAATTTAGACTCTCAAGTTTTATTAAAAAATATATTTCATAAGGCTATAGCTGCCATAGAGTCCTCTGATGGATCTGGGCAAAGTAAATTGAAAACGTTCTGGAAAGGACTCACCATTCTAGATCCCAGTAGGAGCATTAGTGATTCATGGGAGAAGGTCAAAATATCAACATTAACAGAAGTTTAGAAGAAGTTGCTTCCAACCCTGATGGATGACTTTGAGGGGTTCAAGACTTCACTGAAGGAAGTAACTTCAGATGTGGTGGAAACAGCAAGAGAACTAGAAGTGGAGTCTGAAGACATGACTGAATTGCTGCAATCTCACAATAAAACTTTAATGGATGAGGGGTTGCTTCTTATAGATGACCAAAGAAAATGGTTTCTTCAGATGAAATCTACTCCTGGTGAAGTTGCTGTGAACATTGTTGAAATGACAACAAAGGATTTAAAATATTACATAAACTTCACTGATAAAGCATTGGCAGGGTTTGAGAGGATTGGCTCCAATTTTGAAAGAAGTTCTACCGTGGGTAAAGTGCTATTAAACAGCATTGCATGTTACAGTAAAATCTTTCATGAAAGGAAGAGTCAATCAATGTGGCAAACTTCACTGCTGTCTTAAAAAATTGCCACAGCTACAGCAACCTTCAGCAACCACCACCCTGATCAGTCAGCAGCCATCAACGTCGAGGCAAGACCCTCACCAGCAAAAATATTACAACTCACTGAAGGCCGAGATGTTGGTTAGTATTTTTTAGCAATAAAGTACTTTTTAATTAAGGTATGTACATTGTTATTTTTAGATATAACGCTATTGCACATAACCTTTATATGCACTGGGAAACCAAAGCATTCCTGTGACTTGCTTTATTGCGATATTTGCTTTATTGCAGTGGTCTGCAACCGAACCCACAGTATATCTCAGAGGTATGCCTGTACACTAGCTTTCAAGGCTTGAAAATAATCCTCTCTTTTCTGAGACTATAAGAATATCTGGAGAGTGTGGACCTGTCCTCCAGACTCTGGGTGTTGGACATGCCCTCTGAATTCCGGGTGGAGGCCCCTTGGCCCTAGGCTTCAGCTCTGCCTTCCAGGCTCACTGGGATGGCAACTCTGTTCCATTGGCTTTGGGTGGCCCTATTCTTCTAGTCCATCTGAGTGGCAACCCCAACCCTTTGGCCCTGGCAGGCCCTGTTCTTCAGCCCCTTGGGCATTGAAGCCCCACCCTCTCAGCTTTGGGTAGCGGCCCCAAACTGAATGGCAACCCCACACTCTGGACGAGTCAGTGAAGGTTTTAATCATTGAAAGCTAGGAGGTCTTGGCTCTACCCTTTGAGACCCTAGAGGCTGTGGCCCCACCCTTTGAAATCGAGGCAGCTTTGCTTCCCCTGCTTCTTCCAACAGTTTGGCTGAGCTCGGGATTGCTGCAGGGATGGTCTTTTTTTTTTTTTTTTCATGGAGGACAACAGATGTAGCTCCTTTGGGCTGCTTCCTGTCTGCAGAATTCCGAGAGGCAGATAGCATTCTTTCCTTTTGTTCTTCCTGTCACCTTCAATCTAAGCTGATGGGTTTTCTGCTGTGATAACTGGTTGGATCCATCAGTGTTTTAGTCATCTAGTGCTGCTATAACAGAAATACCACAAGTGGATGGCTGTAACAAAGAGAAATTTCTTTCACAGTCTAGGAGGCTACAAGTCCAAATTCAGGGCGCTGGCTCCAGGGGAAGGCTGTCTTTCTCTGTTAGCTCTGGAGGAAGGTCCTTGTCATCAATCTTCCCTTAGTCTGGGAGCATCGCAGCGCAGGAACCTCAAGTTCAAAGGATGTGCTCTGCTCCCGGGTGCTGCTTTCTTGGTGGTACGAGGTCCCCCATCTCTCTGCTCACTTCTCGTATATCTCAGAAGAGATTGGCTTAAGACACTACCTAATCTTGTAGATCTCATCAGTATAACTGTTGCTAATCCATCTCATTAACATCACAGTGATAGGATTTACAACACACAGGGAAATCACATCAGATGACAAAATGGTAGACAATAATACAATACTGGGAATCATGACCTAGCCAAGTTGACAGATATTTTTGGGGCACACAATTCAATCCATGACAGTCACAGGCTTAATCTCTTTAACAAAAGATTGTGCAGCCACATACTTAGTGAACATTCTAGGACATGTGCCCTTAGTCTGTACAACAGAATTTTCCAAATCTTAAAGTTTTGTTTTCATTTTGCAGAGTTCATTTTTAGGTCCATCTCCTTCCTCTTGCATTTTACTATAAACAGTAGGGAGAAACCACATGGCCCCCCTAAGATCTTGCTTAGAAATCTCCTCAGCCAGATATCTAAGCTCATCACATACAAGTTCCACTTTCCACCAAACATCTGAACATAATTCAGACAAGTTCTTTGCCACTGCATAAAAAGCATCACCCTTCTTCCATTGTCCAATCACATGTTCATTTCCTTTTAAAACCTCACCAGAAGCACATTTAACATCCACATTTCTAGCAACATTCTGTTGCTCATACCAGGTATTCTCTAAGATGATAGAGGTTTTCTCTATAGCTCTCTTCCCTTCGTTCTGAGCCCTCACCAGAATTGCCTCTGACATCCATAATTCTACAGTCTCTTCAAGGCAACCTAGGCTTTTACTATACAACGCTATCAATGATAGGATAATAATCATACACCTACAAGGAAAACCAGTTAACACAAGTATTCAAATTTACACACCAACCACTAATGCCAAAGATGAAGAAACTGAAGATTTTTACCAACTTCTGTAGTCTGAAATTGATCAAACATGCAATCAGGATGCATTGATAATTTCTGGTGATTGGCATGTGAGTGCTAGAAACAGGAATTGGTAGTTGGAAAATATGGCCTTGGTGACAGAAATCATGCCAGAGATAGCATGATAGAATTTTGCAAGTCCAACAGCTTCTTCATTGCAAATATCTTTTTTCAACAACATAAACAGCGACTATACAAGTGGACCTCGCTGGATAGAATATGCAGGAATCAAACTGAATACATCTGTGGAAAGAGATGATAGAGAAGCCCAATATTATCAGTCAGAACAAGGCCAGGGGTTGACTATGGAACAGACCATCAATTGCTCATATGCAAGTTCAAGGTGAAGCTGAAGAAAATTAGAGTAAGTCCAGGAGAGCCAAAATACAACCTTAAGTATATCCCACTTGAATTTAGAGACCATCTCAAGAACAGATTTAATGCATTGAACACTAATGACCAAAGACCAGACAAGTTGTGGAATGACATCAAGGACATTATACCCAAAGAAAGCATAAGGTCACTAAAACAACAGGAAAGAAAAAACGACCAAAATGGATGTCAGAAGATACCCTGAAATTTGTTCTTGAACGTCGAGTAGCTAAAGCAAACAGAAGAAATGATGAAATAAAAAAGCCGAACAGATTTCAAAGGGTGGTTGGAGAAGAACAAGTATTATAATGAAATGTGCAAAGACCTGGAGTTACAAAACCAAAAGGCAAGAACATGCTCGGCATTTCTCAAGCTGAAAAAACTGAAGAAAAAATTCAAGCTTTGAGTTGCAGTACTGAAGGATCCTATGGGCAAAAAACTGAACAACTCAGGAAGCATCAAAAGAAGATAAAAGGAATACACAGTCACTATACCAAAAAGAATAGGTTGACATTCAATCATTTCAGGAGTAGCATATGATCAAGAACAGATGGTATTGAGGGAAGAAGTCTAAGCTGCACTGAAGGCAATGGAGAAAAACAAGGCTGTGGGGAGTGCCACAGAGTCCAGTAGGCAAACACAAGAGGCACATCGCCTTGACAGAGTCCTGCCCTCTCAGCCAGTCTTTGAGGTTGTCCTGGCAGGTGTGACTCCCAGCTCTACTCCTTGCTGGTGTCCTGGGTTCCCAAAGAAAGCTCAATCCCCATGTGGGGACGCCTTCTGCCAGCAGGACAGACTGGGACACTGCAAACAACCGGGGGAGGTCTCCTGGGAACTGACTGTGTACCACATGTGGCCTGAGAGCAGGAAGTGTCTTAGGAAACATGTTGAGTTCCCAACCCAAGTGCTGGAGCCAGTCCTGCTGCTCTTTGACTTCCTAGGGCCAAGAACCAGGTGGGAAGCAACTAGTTTGGGGTCACAGCTGGTATTCGGTTGGCCCATGTCCCAGTGGGCTTGTGTAGCACCTTCCAGTAGCCTCTGAGAGACTCGGCTCTCTGCAGTGGAAAGTCAGGACTTGGCCTCCGGATCAGGTTGAGAGAGGGCAGCCAAGATGCAGCCTCTTGAGCAAGCAATGGGGACCCGGCCTCCGGAGAAGGAAGCAGAGATTTAGTCACGGTGGCCCAGTTCTGCACTTGTGTGACTCATTGATCAGATTTTTCTTTTGACAATGACAAGTCCTAGAGTAACCACTAAAGGAAATAACTTGAAAAATATAAACAGTGAAATAATCACTAAAGGAAATAAAATGCTACATTAGAGGATATTCACTTAATAAAAAAAAATCAGCAAAAGTGGAATAAAGGAACAAAATGACATGAGCCGTATAGAAAACAAAAAGTAAAATGTCAATCGTAAATCCAACTATACTAACAACACTAAGTGTAAACGGGGGTTTAAGAATCCAAAAGAAAAAAAAAAAACCACCTAATGTTGCCTCCCTCTTTTAGAGGAATGGAGTTGTTGGTAATTCTACTACCACCACCAATTGCCAACAAGTCAATAATGGTTGGCAAGTGTTGCACATTGTGGAGACCACCCAGCTGGAGAGTTGAGATGGCTTCTGCCACAAGCCCTAGCCATTACATACTCTGAAAAAGTCCTTGGGCAGGTGACAACATGCAGTACAGCTCCAGAAGTCTTCCATCACACCTAGCAGTCATAGTAAATCTTCTTAGTGTGCATATTTTAAGTTCAATTGATGGTTCTTTCATAAAAACTACTCTCAGCTTAAGGCCTTTCTCAAGTCTAAACTTTCTGGTGCTGTAAACGTCATACATTTGGTCAAAGCCTTTCCTCACATCCACAGCAATCATAAGGCCAGTTTGTTGCTGAAACCTTTGGTTCAAGGCTCTTCTTTATTTGCTGCATTCAATACGCCTTCCTCTGTTGTAAATTTGTTGGTGCTGAATGAGGTGGGGCCATTTCATAAATCATTTCCCACATTTGCTACACTCATAAGGCCTTCCTTGAGTGGGAACTCTCCAGTGTTGGTGAGGCTGGAGGTGTGACTAAAGATTTTCTACATTTGCCACATTAAGCCCTTTCTCCAGTTGTGAATCCTCTGGTGCTCAATAAGCATGGAGTTGTGCCTAAAGGATTTTCCGTATTTGCTACACTCAAGACTTTTTTCCAGTGTGAATGCTCTGGTGTTGAATGAGTTTGATGTGCTTGCTAAAGGATTCTCCACAGTGGCTGCACTCATAAAGCATTTCTCTAGTGTGAATTTGCCGATGTTTAGCAAGGCTCGAGTTGTGGCGAAAAAATTTGCCACATTCGCTGCACTCATAAGGCTTTGCTCCAGTGTGAACTCTCCAATGTTTAACAAGGCTGGAATTTTCACTAAAGAATCTTCCACATTCATTGCACTTAAAAGGCTTTTCTCCACTGTGAAGTTTTCGGTGTTGAATGAGGCTGGAGTTTTGGCTAAAGAATTTTCCACATTCATTACACTCATAAGGCCTTTCTCCAGTGTGAACTCTCCAATGATTAATGAGGCTTGACTTATGACTAAAGGCTTTCCCACATTCCCTGCAGTCATAAGGCTTTTCTCCAGTGTGAACTCGCTGATGTTTCATAAAGCTGGAGTTATGGCTAAAGAACTTCCCGCATTCACCACACTCATAAGGCCTTTTTCCAGTGTGGATTCTCTGGTGCTGAACAAGTGTGGAATTATGCCTGAAGGGTTTTCCACAGTCTTTGCACGTAAATGGCTTTTCTCCAGTGTGAACTCTCCTGTGTTGAAGGAGGTCAGCGTTGCGGCTAAAGGATTTTCCACAGTCACTGCACCCATAAGGCCTTTCTCCAGTGTGAACTATCTGGTGTTTATGAAGGTTATATTTATTGCTAAATGACTTCCCACATTCGCTGCACTCGTAAGGCTTTTCTCCAGTGTGGATTCTCTGATGCTGAACAAGTAAGTATTTCTGACTGAAGGCTTTCCCACATTCATGGCATTTGTAATGCTTTTTTCCAGTGTGGAAGGCCTCCCCACACTCAGAGCTCACAGTCTCACCCCTGCTGTGAGTCCCCTGATGCTTGGGAAGATTTGAGCTGGTGAGGACGTCTTTCCCACTCTCCCTGCACTGGATGGGCTTCTCCAACACATGAACTCTGCAGCTCTTCAAAACTGAGACCCAGCCCTCTTCTCTTCTGAAGGGTTTATCTGCAGCATGAAGTTTCTGGTGCTGGTGAAGGTCTGCATGGAACCAGAACCCTTTCCCACATGTTCCACATGTGTACAGTTTCTTCCTAGGACATGTTCCCTGATGCACAGTCAATTGCACATTCTCCTTGAAGACAAGGCTACATACTGCACCAGGGTGGGTCTTTTGGGTGGATGGACCTGCCTTGTGAGTCCTGACCTGTGACATTCCTTCTACAGAAACACTCTGCTCAGAAGGTGCTTCTTCCGCCTCCACTCCATGCCAACAACCTGAAAGCAGAGAAATGCTGTGAAATGCAAGTTGATGCTGGTGAGAGGGGGAAGCCACATCAAAGATATGTGTCTGACACACCCAGAAATGAGTCTATGGCATTACTGGCAGAATGAGGGGGCCAAGGTAAGGGTGAGGAAGGGCCCGCTGTGCAGTGCTGGGCTGGGCAATCTCACAGGATGAGAAAGGCTTCCCAAGCAGCAACGACACAAGTGGAGGAGATGTAGGGCCATCAACACACTTTTCTTCAAGAGGCTTTATGTCTGGACTTCCCTGTAAATGACATGTGAGTTTGTGCAGAAGGGTGTGTCCATGCCCAGGAAAATCACTCCAGGTGGGTAGCTGGTGTTCAAAGACTATATAAGGATATGTGCACATTTCACAACACATTAAGTGAAGATCAGTGCTGTGGAGCACTACAGTGGGAGCAGTGGAGAGGAATGGGTGAGACATGGACGACAGGGAGGTAGGGGGCAGGCCTGAGTCAGAACTCGGAATAAAATGGTATGTGGGTGACTGGGGAAGGAAAGATGGAAATCAGCTGTGGACACTTGCCTTGGCACTGAAATATCAGGCACACTGGAAAGATTCCTGGTATGAATTGAGCCCCTCCCTGAGTTCATGCCCTCCCCAGCTCCCACTTATTGGGGCCAGGACCCCTCCAAACACCTCTTGTCATGTCTGGGGCCATGGCCTCTCGGTCAGGCATCCAGGGCTCTCTCCACCACTCCAGTTGGGTGATTTCATGGGTCCTGGAAGATACCAGTCCTAAGGGAGAGACAGAACAAGTGAGTGGGCAGCACTGGGACAGAGTGACTCACCCCATGACAGACCACAGGACTGAAAACTAAATATTATAAGAAGAATCTTGAAGGAGGGTTTTAAAGGAATAACTCAGGTAAGTAGTGACCATCTTGGTGCCTCAATTGCTGGCATGGGCAGACCTCAGTGTGTGTTAGTTCGAGGAAGGAAGGAGAACCTGAGACACAAAACTGCCATGGAGCCACACAGTATCAGCAGACAGGGTGAGATCCATGAGATCGGTTGTCAGGACCTGTGACCCCTACACTCTTTCCTGCAATGCTTTGAGCAGCAGGTATTGGGCAGCTTGGGGAGCAAGGTGGGTAGTGAACACGGCTCTTTCACCCACAGTGCCTCCTCCAGGAAACAGGAAGGGATGCCCATGGCCTAGTTTTGAGAAGGACAGAATGGCCCCTAGGGAAAATAGGAAGGGCAAAGCCCAGTCCAGGATGCAGGGGTGTGAGGGACTTACCCAGCGAGGCCATGAGTGCAAAGGTCTCCAGCATCACATCATGATACAGGAGCCTCTGGGCCACATCAAGAAGCCCCCACTCCTCCTGGGAGAAGTACACAGCCACATCCTCAAAGGTCACATGGCCCTGCCAGGATGGGAACAGATGAGTTGATGTTCTGCCTCCTTCCCCAGGGAACCCCAGTCATTCATCCCTGTTCGTCCTCCTGTCCAGCTTGCCCCCTTGATGAGAGCTCACTGGTGCCCATTCTCTCCTCAGTTCCCACTGACCACTGAGTCAGCCCAGAGCAACAATAAGCAGGTGGGCATATAGACAACATCTAAACTGGGGCCCCACCCCTCTCCTGCTAGACAATTCACTTGGGATCCTGTTGTGGCCCACCAGATCAGTGAGAAGGGAGGTCCTGAAGGGCAGTTCTACTCTGTTACATGGGTGCACATCACTGTTTACACCACATCTTCCTACATCTCCAACCTTACACTGCTACCTCCACCCTGACACCACACCACACACACCTCCCTGGCCTCCCCACATGCCCTCTGCACACAGCATCCAGAGTGTGCTCAGCAAATGAAGTCAGAAATCCATCCTGCCCCAGACCAACAACGGCCCCCACTGCCAGAGGCAGCTTCCAGCTCTGCTCCGAAGGCCCCCCTGCCTGACCCTTTTCCTGATTCATCTTCAGCCACCCTGAACCATGAGCACATTTCAGATGCCTTTGGCCCTCTCCCTCTTCTAGGCTGCAGAGCTCTCCCTTTGCTGGGCTCAGCCTTTCTCTCACCACTTAACTCTTGTTGGGATTCCAGGCCCACTTGTCTTCTGTTATGCATTGAATTGTGTCCCCCCAAAATATGTGTTGTAAACCCTAACCCCTATACCTGGTGGCGCAGTGGTTATGTGCTCAGCTGCTAACTGAAATGTTAGCAGTTTGAACCCACTGGCCGCTCTACTGGAGAAAAGATGTGGCAGTCAGATTCCATTAAGATTACAGCCTTGGAAACCCTATGAGGCAGTTCTACTGCAGGGTCGCTACGCAATGGGTATGCCTGGGCTTGTAATCCCATTTGGGAACAGGTCTTCTCTGTTATGTTAATGAGGCAGTATTAGCATACAGTGCATCTTAAATCAATTTCTTGTACATAGGGACGCTATGATTCAGAATCGACTCAATAGCACCTAACAACACAAGCCCTTACATGGATTCAGGGCCCTAGGCCTTGGGTAACCTCACCTTCCAGGGTGCTCACACAGAAGGGTAGGGAGAGTGGCAGGCAGAGAATCCCAGGACCCCATAATCCAGGGACCATGTAGGTGGAAGTCCAGGAGGGTGATGGCCTAGTACACCCTCCACTTACCTCTGCACAGTCTGTAAGCACTTCTGCAGCCATGGGAACCTATGGAAAAGCAAGGCCATGAGAAGTAGGCAACCATGGTGGGGTCCCACAGGCTTATCCAAGGCCCCTATACCTGCCCTACCCTGGAGTAACAGTGAGCCTGACTGTCTATCTCGTGAGCCTCAGTCCTCGGTGATGCCTCTTACCAAAGAGGTAACTTGACTTTGGACAAGTACTCAACGTCCCTGTGCCCCCTGGAAAAGGAGGAAAACAATGTTCATGTGGACTCTGTTGTAGTCAGTTGCCATGGAGTCGATTCAAACTCATGGTGACCTCGTGTGCAGAGTAGAACTGTTCTATAGGGTTTTCAAGGCTGTGACCCCTCAGAAGCCAATCGCCAGGTCTGCCTTCCAAGGTGCCTCTGGTGGGTTTGAACCTCCAACCTTTTGACTGGTAGTTGAGCATTTAACCATTTGCGCCACCCATAGACTCCTATGCGGACTCTTACTGTCCACGTAATTCATGCTTCTGTCAATGTTTTTGGTACAACTGAATTGATGAGTTTTGAAAACAAGTGTTGTTTACATATGTTTTAACTATTTAAGAGAATGTGATATTTAAGATGTTTGATTTTAATCAAATGCTTAGCAGTATATTAAGGTTTCAACCAATTATTAAGTGCTTGCATAAATTTAATTTGCTAAATCCACACACTATTAATTGCTTATCTACATATACATATTTAGAAGAATTCTGATCGACAGGCTTGAGAGCTATTTAGACCGTGGGAAGCAATAAAGGGGTGTCTAGGGTGAACCAAAGAAGCCCTGGTGGTGAACAGTTAAGCCCTTGGCTGCTAACTGAAAGGTTGGTGTTTGAACCCACCCAGCAGCTCTTCAGGAGAAAGACCTGGCCATCTGCTCTGGTAAAGATCAAAGTCTAGAAAACTCGATGGGGCAGTTCTACTCTGTCACATAGGGTCACTATGAGTCAGGATCAACTCCATGGCACCCAACAACAGTGTTTAAGTCAGCATTTATGTCATAAATTCACAAGTTATTAAATGGTGAGTGTTGGCCTGAGGAGCCCTGGTGCCACAGGCGTTAAATGCAACCCCTGACACCTGCTTCCTGCATCGACTTCCCCATCTGCATCCTTCCATATATTCAGCCAAACAAAACAAAGCAAAAACAAATTGAGATCGTCTTTCATTCCCTACTTTCTCTCATAGCCACACCTGATGCAGCAGGGAACTCTATCTGTTCACTTTTTAAAATACATCCAAGATTTGACTCCTCTTCCTCCTCTATATGGAGCGCTGGTGGCACTATGGTTAAGTGATACAGCTGCTAACCAAAACGTTGGCAGTTCAAATCCACCAGCTGCCCCTTGGCAACCCTATGGGGCAGTTCTACTCTGTCCCCTAGGGTCGCTATGGGTCAGAATCAACTCGACAGCAACAGGTTTTCCCCTCTCTATAGAAGCCCTGGTGGCTCATCGGTTAAGCTGAAAACCTTTAAAAAGGCTGTTGGTTCGAACTCACCCAGTGGCTCCACAGGAGAAAGACTTGGCCTTCTGCTCCCATAAAGATTGTTGTTGTTGTTAGATGTTGTCGAGTCGGCTCCAACTCATAGCCACCTTAGGTACAACAGGAGACACTGCCCAGTCCTGTGCCATCCTCACAATCATTGCTATGTTTGAGCCCACTGTTGCAGCCACTCTGTCAATCCATCTTGTTGAGAGTCTTTTTCGCTGTCCCTATGCTTTACCAAGCATGATGTCCTTCTTCAGAGCCTGGTTCCTCCCGTTATCTGTAAAGAGTACAGCCTAGAAAACCCTATGGGCAGTTCTGCAATGTCACATGGGGTCGCTGTGAGTCAGACTCTACCAGATGGCACAACAACAACAACAACATGGGGTCCAAGGAGATCTCTTTCCTGGCCTTGTCTTCATGACGGTGCAATTGCCAAGTCTTTTTCCCCAGCAGCGCGTCTGGGTGGGTTTGAACCACCAACTTTTTGGTCAGCAGCTGAGCACTTAACCCTTGCTCCACCAGGGCTCTTTCTGTTAGGATTACAGCCAAGAAAACCCTACGGGGCAGTTCTACTCTGTTACATGGGTAGCTAAGAGTTCAAAGCGACTTGAAGGCACCCAACAACAACCACCGTCCCCCTCTATTGCCACCACTATGGTCCAGTCCCCAGGACTCTTCTTCATTAGTCTGTAGTCCAAACCTCTGCAGAGGTCTCCCTGACTTCACCCTCATCACCCCCGACCCCTTCCTCCCCCGTCTGTTTCCCCCTAAACAGACTTCTGGAAACCTTGGGAAACAGAGATCAAGTCACTCCTCTTTTCACAACCCTCCAAGGTCACTAGTGCCCTCAAAAGGAAGGTCCCGCTGCTCAGGCTGCCATTCCACGTGGGACTCCTCGCACAATCTTGTTCCCTGGAGACGAAGACGGATTTCAGGTTTGGGACCTCCAAGCCTTCACACGTGCTGGTCTTTCTACCTAAAACACTCTCCCCACGCCGCATACAGCTGGCAGTCAGTAAGTGGGAGCCTACTCACGAGCGCCCCACTGTCCTGTGCACCGTGGCTGGACATAAGGGAGCTGAGCGGGCGTCTCTCTTTCACGGCTTTAGATTCGGAGGTCCGCGCAGATCAGGGACTGAGGTGCGCAGCACCCACTTGCGCCGGATCCACCAGCGCGGCCGCCTCCATACCAGTCTGAACCTAGCGGGGTAGGAGCGGAGGGCGACCGGGGCGGATCCCAGTTCGCCCCCGGCTACGCCGCCGCCGTGCCTCAAACCCGCCCCTATCGTAATGAGAATAACGCCTCCTTTCGCGCCTCCGGCTCACATTACCTCAGGCCCGACCCAGCGCCACGGAGCCTCACATGGCCCTAGTGAACTCGAAAAAAGTGTAAATGTCGCCCAGATGCTGACATAAGAAGTCCCGTCCGGGCGCCTGCCACGCACTGAAGTCCCTCTTTTCATTGGTTGAGCCCGCCTCCGTGTAGCGCATCTTCTTCTGGGTAACGTAGTTCCCATAGCGCCAAACTTTGAAGAACTGGACCAAAATAATCATTGATGTAGAGTCCATGAGGAGCCCTGGTGGCGCGGTGGTTAAGCACTCGACTACCAACCGAAAGGCCAGCAGTTTGAACCCATCAGCCACTCTGGGAGGAAAGATGTGGCAGTTGGCTTCTGTAAAGATTACAGTCTTGGACACCCTATGGGGCAGGTCTACCCTGTCCTGTAGGTTCGCTATGAGTCCAATCAGCTCAATGGAACGGGTTTCGTTTTTTGGTTTGGGTGGAGTCCATGTCACGGCGACTCCATGTATTACAAAGTTAATCGGCTTCATAAGGTTTTCTTTGCTTTAATCTTAACAAAAGTAGCCCTGATGGTTTAACGGTTAAGTGCTCGGATGCAAACCCCAAGGTCTGCAGTTTGAACCCACCCATCGGCTCCGCGGGATAAAAGACCTGGCGATCTGTTTCTGTAAAGATTACAGCCTAGGAAACTCCATGGGGCAGTTCTACTCTGTTATATAGGGTCGCCGTGAGTCTGCAAGAATATTGAATGTACCGTGGACTGCCGGAAGAATGAATAAGCCTGTCTTCAATGAAGTACAACCAGAGTGCTCCTTGGAAGCAAGGATGGCGAGACTTCCTCTCACGTACTTTGATCATGTTATCGGGAGGGACCAGTCTCTGGAGGACACCATGCTTGGTAAAGTAGAGGGTCAGCGGAAAAAGAGGAAGCCCCTCAACTAGATGGACTGACACAGTGGCTGCGACAATGGGCTAAAGCATAGGAAAGATTGTAAGGATGGTGCAGGACCGAGCAGTGTTTCATTCTGAACCGACTCCACAGCACCTAATAACAACAGTAAATTTATATACAATGAAATGCATAAATCTTAACTGAAGGACTGGAAGAGTTGTTGAATGTGTTGTTAGTTGCCATCATTTCAATTCCAACTGTGCTCCATAGGGTTTTCAAAGCTGTGACCTTTCCAAAGCAGATTTCCAGGCCTGTTTTTCCAAGGAATCTCTGGGTGGGTTTGAACCTCCCATCTTTTGGCTAGTAGTCAAGTGCTTAACCATTTGCACCACCCAGGGACTCCTTTCCTCTCATATCACCATCTCTTCCAGCATCCTAGCTTGGGTGTGGCAAGCAGGCTTTTGTCTAGCCTTTCCCCTCCTTGCGACCTTGGGCTGTCATTCCGACAAGTGTGAGACATGTCTTGATTTCCCCGGGGGTTTTTTTCACAGGACTTTGCTACTTGCTGAATTCTGTGTTTCCCTCTAACTTCTGACTTCTCCAACTGTAATTTCTCATTTCTCTATAGTGATTTTGGGGACATAGCCAGCAGCCCTTTCTGGGGGCACCATCTCATCAGGACCAGGAAGCTGTCTTGAAGATGCTACTCCATAAATCTCTCTTTGGTGCATTCTCATCCTCCACTCTCAATGCTTCTACAAAACCTTGTTCTTAGATGCCGTCGAGTCAATTTTGACTCATGGTGACCCCATGTGACAGAGCAGAACTGCCGCATAGGGTTTCCTAGGCTGTACTCTTTATGGGAGCATATTGCCAGGTCATTTCTCCTGAGGAGCCGTTGTATGGATTCAAACCCATGACCTTTCAGTTAGCAGCCTAGTGCTTAACTGTTGCTTCACCAGGGCTCCTTTACAGCACTTTAGGCCTCACCTTCTCCTACCTGGAATATTCATTTCAACCTGATAAGTGCTTCATGAGACCTCAAGTGCAGGCTCTGTGTGAACTGCTGCAGATACAGTGGCAATATAACAGACAAAAACCCCTGCTCTCAAATTGGTTAAATGCTGGGGCGTTGGGGGAGGCGGGGAGTGACAAACAATAAACAAGGCAAATAAGTGGAATATAGAGCTTGCCTGATGTGGTTAAGTGCTAAGAAGAGAAATAAAGCAGAGAAGCCGAGTAGGGGCTCTTCAAAATACTTGGCTGCTAACTGATAAGTTAGAAGCTTGAGTCCACTTAGAGGCACCCCAGAAAGACCTGATGATCTGTTGTTGTTGTTAGGTGCTGACTCATAGCGACCCTATGTACAAAAGAATGAAACATTGTTCCATCCCGTGCCATCCTCACAATGGTTGTTATGCTTCAGCCCATTTTTGCAGCCACTGTGTCAATTCGTGTCATTAAACCATCAGGGCTACTTCTGTTAACATTAAAGCAAAGAAAACCTTATGAAGCAGTTTAACTTTGTGATACATGGAGTCGCCATGACATGGACTCCACTCAAACCGAAAAACCAAACCCCTTCTTCTTTTTTGCTGACCCTGTTGATTTACTTCCAAAAACTCAGCCCTGTGGAGCCCATTTCTACCCTGACACGCATGAGATCACCATGAGTCAAAGTCAACTTGATGACTACTGGTTTGATTTGGTTTTTTGATTAAGGGCTATTGCCCCGGAGCCGTAAATGTTACATATGACCATATTGGAGAACGAGTTGTTGCTGGATGAAAATTCCGCTGGTGATTGAATCAATGGATTGGATTTCATCCAAACACATCTTTAATGCATCACTTAATCCCACACCCTATAAAAGGGAGGAGCCATGGGAAGATATATCAGTTGAGCCCGTCAAAGAAAGCCAGTTACACAGCTCAGCGTTCAGCCCAGGAAGACCCAATTTGAAGGTTCCACTGAGAAGGAGGTGAGTTTCCAGGATGAAAGGAGAATTCCCAGGTTTTTTTTTGTGTGTGTATGCGTATGCCTGTGTGTGTATATGTATGTAGGCCTAGCTGCTGGGAGAAAATCCCTAAATACAAAGATATGAGGGTGTCTCAGGCTTGAAAACCCTATGGATCAGTTCTACTCTGCACACGTGAGGTTGCCATGAATCAGAATCCATTCGACAACAATTAACAACAGCAACAACATAAGCTATTGACCAGACCTTTTCTGAGCACTTAGCACATGCCGGCACCTACTCTATTTGCTTCATGTATATTAAGTCATTTATATGCTTCATGTATATTAAGTCATTTAGCTCTGAGAGTGACAAATCTGGGACATGGATGACATTAGAGTCCCTGTGATACAGGTGGGGACCTGATGTGTAACATTCCTGGGGTCACACAGCTGGTAGATACCAGCTCCAGGTTGGAACCCAGCCAGTCTGGCTTTGAGGTCCAAGGTCTTACCCACGAAGGAGCCCTCGTGATGCAGTGGTTAAGTGCTCGGCTGCTAACTAAAAGATCGGCAGTTTGAACACACCCAGCAGCTCCTCAGGAGAAAGACCTGGCAATCTGCTCCCATAAATATTTCGGCCTAGGAAACTCTGTGGAGCATTTCTACTCTGTCACATGAGGTTGCTGTGAGTTGGAATCAATTTAAAAGCACCCAACAACAATACCATTCACGATGCTCCAGCCATGTCTGTGTGCGAGTGAGTGCAGGTCTGCAAGTGTGAACACATGGTCTGTGTGTGCAAGGACTAGTCCAGGAAGGGAGGGCTTATGGGGAGCCCCTAATGAAAGGGAAGGTGTGGGTTCTA